TGCATTGCTGCCAGTGGCCACAAGATCATAAAGTTGAGAATCTGCTGTTCAGAGTCCAAGGCAACCTGCAGCGCGAGTTCCGGCGATTTCGCGTGGTAGAGCGCTGAAAGGGTCTCAAACCAACAAAGCTTCCAGGCAAGACCACAAGCGATTTTTTGCTTCCGAGTTTTTTTTTGACAATCTACTTTGCAAGCACAAAACCTTAAAGCCTTAATTGAACCAGATTTAGAAGTCATTGCTTTGCTTTTTGGCGGGCCTCTGGAGCGGCAGACTTTTGGGGTTTAGGGTTTCTTTAGGGTCAACCCTAAACCCTAAAAGGCTGCCGCTCCAGAGGTCGCGCCCGGCTACTTCTTTTTTTTAGAGGCAGAAACCAGATGGTGTCAAAAGCCCGCCACTTGACAAGGTGGAAGCTCCGCGCAGACTGTAAATCAACATAATTAATTTTCCAGGAAAAAGCCAGAAGGCCCTATGCGGGCTGGCCAACTCAATTCTGAATCCATCAAAGTGACTTTCCGAGAAACAGCTCTGTGCTCGCAGAAAGTGCCAGTGCAAGTGTGGCGGCAGTGCTGAAAGCTGATGTCCCTGCACAGCGTGAAGGCCCGTTCTGGCGAAGCCAGAATTGCTTTTTTTTGCGGCCCTGAAAAACACGGTCAAACCCCCACCACCTGCACCCCTTCTAAACAGGCAACCCCCGATTTCCAAAACACGGTCAAACCCCACACCAGTCCATTCAAAGCATGGTCAAACCAAACCCAAACCCACGCCGCCCACCAAACCCACCCCCAAACCCACCCGCCATTCTTAGCCATTTGACTCTGTCGCTGGGACGTCGCCCTTCCCCAAAAACTTCTCTTCATTGGGCGCATGGCAACTTAATCCGGGCCTGCAACACGCTTTAAATGTCTTTGTCTTTTTTATTCTGCAATGTCTAGCAAACACTCTGCACAACCGCAACTTCCCAGAGCTTGAAGCGTGACCCTATCCACAGAAAACACCAACAAAGAACTGCAGCAAAACTGGCGGGGCCACCAGCATTGCCAGCACAAAGTCCAAGTTGCGGGGAAGTCGGACAACCCGCTTGAAAGGTGATGGCTTCAAGAACTTTGGGCTTGCCAGTTAAGCTGCAGTTCTTCGTTGGTGTTTTCTATGGATAGAAGTCACGCTTCAAGCTCTGGGAAGTTGACCTGGCCTCAACGTTTTCTGCGGTTGTGCAGAGTCGTTTGCTAGACATTGCAGAATGAAATTTTTGGCAGACTTGGACTTTGAACAGCAAAGACAAAGATATGTAAGCGTGTTGCAGGCCCCGGATTTCAAGTTGCCATGCGCCCAATGAAGAAGATTTTGGGGAAGGGCGTCCCCAGCGACAGGGTCAAACGG